AAATTAAATAGGGTAGAATTATTTTGATCCGTTTAAAGGGGTAGAGAGCCCAGATACAGACCAAACATATTGGAGACTTGATATATGGCAGGAAAAGCACAATCAATCCTATGGGAGGAGTGGGGAGATTGGACTGTGCTATAGGAACAGTAGGTTCCCCATTTGGAGAATCTCTATAAAACGAGAGGAAACAACCTAACTGGGGAAAAGGCTTTAATGATAAGTACAAGCACATCTCAGGATAGGAAAAACAACATGGCCATGCTCAACATCGTTAATAGTCAGGTAAATACAAATCAAAACCATGATGAGATACCTGGCTAACAAGTGGTGGTGAGGATGTAAGGTAGCGGCCCATCATAGATTGCTGGTGGGAATGTACAATGGTACAATTGCTTTAGAGATCAGCAAAATTGCCCTTTATTGTCCCATTTTTACAGATGAGGTACCTGAGCCACAGAGCAACAAAATAATATGCCCTTGGTCATAAGCTGGTAAGTGATAGAGCCAAACTTAGAGGCAGCGCCTCAAGAAATTGAACATAGAGTTTATTACATGACCCAGCAATTCTATTCCTAGTTTATACCCAAGAGAATAACTGAACACTAGTACATGGATGTTATAGTCCATCAACTGATGAGTCAATAAATAAAATGTGGTATATTCATATAATAGATTATTATGCAGCAATAAAAAGAAATGAAGTCTGATCCATGCTGCAACATGGAGGACCCTTGAAAGAATGATGCTAAGTGAAAGAAGCCAATCACAAAAGACCACATATTGTATGATTCCATTTATGTGAAATGTCCAAAATAGGCAAATTCATGAAGACAGAAGGTAGATTAGTGGTTGCCAGGGGCTGGGGAGAATAGCTACTGGGGAGAGGCTGCTAACAGGCATGGGGCTTCTTTTTGGGGTGATGAAAATGTTCTAGAATTGGATAGCAGTGATAGTTGCACAACTTTGTGAATATACATTTTAAGCTGGCAAATTTTTAATTTTGATGAAGTCTAATTTACCTATTTTTTCTTTTGTTGCTTGTGCTTTTGGTGTCTTATTTTTATTTTTAAAAAAACACCCCCCGCAAAGAAAACATTGCCAAATCCAAGGGACAATTTTAAAGTTTAATATTTTACTGTATATTGTCCCACTGTTTGCAAATATTTTTGTCTTACTAATCTCATCTAAAACTTCGCTCCAGAAATAAAAGATAACTCAGGGAAAAATTACATACAACCATATACTTTTTAAAAAATTCTAAATCCTCATCTGAGGATAGTTTTTTCCATTTATCTTCAGGTAGAGCAGAAGGGAGAGAGAGAGAGAAACATCCATCTGAGAGAGACACATCAATTGGTTGCCTCCTGCACGACCGTGTTTGGGTCAGGGGCCAAACCACAACCGAGATACGTGCCCTTGACCAGAATCATGCCCTTGACTGGAATCAAACCCTCGACTCTTTGGTCCACAGGCCAACACTTTAACTGCTGAGCCAAACTGGCCAGGGCCAACCATATTCCTTAAAAAAAAAAAAAATATATATATATATATATATATATATATATATATAATACACACACACACATACACATATACACACACACATCATATATGTGTGTGTGTGTATATATACATACACACACACACACCATTCAAATGCAGGAATCTGTAGTAACAGAAGGGCTAGACACAAACTGTGCCCAAAGTGAGTTTAAAGGAGCTCAAACCATTCTGAACCATCAGGAACTTACTCTCCAAATATTTGTCTGTAGCTGAATCCAAGTGTGCTGGGAACTGACTGCATAAAGAGTCTAAAATTAACTTTTATATGGAATATAATATTTATTAAGGATAAGTGATAAAAATGTGCTAATTTGAACCATATTCAAGAATAGTCACAGGACTTGTTTCAACTTAGATCATCGAAAGCATTGAAGGTTTTTTTTTTCAGGAGGAATATTTTGTAACTCATATTGTTCAGAGTCCCTGAGCACGATAATGATAAAACATGACCAATTTTCTAGTTGTCTTATTATTATTTGAAAATTCTCTTACAGACAACACACCCCTTTATTGTTTGCACCCATAATAGACTGCTTATTCTTCCCTGACCTTGATATGTCAAGACTTCGCTTGGAAAAAGTGCTTCTCAAAGTGCACCTCTCCAGCCAGCAGCTTCAATCTCACTAGTTCCCAGATCCACCGTGGACCTACCAAATCAGCAATTCTGAAAGTGGAGCCCAGAAATCTGTGTTTTAACAAGCCCCCCAGATGATTCTGATGGCTGCTCAAATTTAGAACCATTGCCTGAGAATCTGGAAACTGCCATACCTAGGACTGGAGTCTAGGGCATTGGTGAACCCACTGCTCTGAGATGATAGAGTAAGGCAGGAAAAGTGACCACCAACCCTAGGTTCTGGCAAACCTGGACATCAGTTTCTCTGGTTACCATTGAAGAAAAGTGCCTCTGGCTAGCAGAGGGAATGTCTTAGCTTCTAGTCCTTCAAACAGTCTCCATGGTACAAACACTGAATCAAAGGAAGGAAGACTCCTGGAGACCATGGTTGCTGAGAGGACACTTGGCTTGTCCTTTTCTGTAGGGGTTCCCACTGCTGTGCAGCACTTTGTACCTGCTCATGCTCCTCCTTGGACTATTGCTCCACATAAATGCACCTCCAGTGGTGGCAGCCCATGTCCTGTGATTCAGTCTCTGCAAAAGAGGTCCAGCCACCCAGTGTGCTATTAATAGAATTTTCCATTTCAACATTATTTGAAAGAAGCTTTTCTCTGCTTTATTTATCAGATAGTAAAACACCACTAAATGCCAAGGAATTGTGTAGTGTGAGCTGGAGTTACAAACTGACATGATTTCTGCTCTCAAAATGTTCCTTCTCTAGTAGGAGAGAAGTGGAATTTTAAAAGTAGATACATGTCTGGCTGATGTGGCTCAGTAGTTGAGCATCGACCCATGTGCCAAGAGGTCACCGGTTTGCTTCCCAGTCAGGACACATGCTGGGGTTCCGGGCCCGATCCCCAGTGGGGGGCATGCAGGAGGTGGCCAACTGATGTTCTCTCTCATCAATGTTTCTATCTCTCTCTCCCTCTCACTTCTCCTCTCTCTCTCAATAAAGGGAAAAATTTTTTTTTAATAAAAGTAGATACAAATTGTACTAAGTGTGATCATGACGTCTAACTGCTCCCTTTGTTAGCCCATGTGCCCTACTCTACCGTCTAACTGCTCCCTTTGTTAGCCCATGTGCCCTACTCTACCACTCATTTCATCTGAAAGTCTCTAAAGATGGGATTTCCAAAACTTAATGGATTTCAAAAAAAGATATGAATTCTTTCCATAGCCTTCAGGGACCTGCTTTTAGGCTTGAGATCATCACTGACCTCAAAGAAGCATCTGGACATTGACATTTAGGAACATCTAATGTTTGTAGAATGTTTTATGAGAGAGGTGGTGTGGTTATAATAACTATAATACTATAATACTCTGATATGCATGCCCTTTGGCCCAGTCACTTAAGAAATCCCTCCAAAAGGGATAATGTAGTCTTTAGAAAAGAGCTATGCCACTAGTTACTACAGCTTTGTATATTGAATGAACAAATTCAATACTCAGTTACTGTTTTTGCTAATGTGAGCAAATTATTTGAACTCATTGGGTGTCATGGATCAAATGGGATGATAATCTGTACCTGAAAAAGTTTGCGAGGACTAAATGTGGAACCGCTACCTAGCGCTAGGCGTGACACAGAACAGGTGTGTTTTGCATGTGTTCATTTCACCTCCTCTTTCTAATCATATTGCATTTTATTATATATATATATGAATGTATACATATGAGAATGCGTGTGCTTTTTTATATTCCAACCACTTCCCTCTCAGTGAACTGAATTTGCTCCAACACTGTTACTTCTCCTTCCCCTCCCCTGGCATTATGCATGGCAACATTCAGGTATTGAATGGTTGAACTGTCCCAAACTCAACCAGGTTAGGACCGGAGGGAGAAAGCCACCATCAACTCTTCCTTAGTCTACTGCATTAACCTCCTGATTTCCACAGTTCCACCCAATCCATTCCGGGCAGTGGTCAGAGACAACACATTTTAGAACATAAACGTGACCGTGAACTCCCCGTTACAACCTTTGGTAGCTTCTTAAGCCTCCCAAATCCTCACATGGCTTACAGGGCCCTGCACGGTGTGGCTTCTACCCACCTTTCCCGCCAGATGTCAGGTCCCCCACCTTCTGGCCTTTCAGTTCTTGAGTGTGCAGAAGCTGTCTCCTCTCCCTGAAATCTTTTGCCCTGCTTCCTCCTCTCTCTGGCTCCCCTTCCTTCCGGTTTCAGCTTACTTGTGACTTCAGGGAGGTCATAACCCACTGTTCTATCTAAAACAGGTGGCCCCATAATTTTCTACCACATGTGTCAATCTGTGATTTATGTATTAGCTGGATTATTCCAAGAGTTCACACGCTTTTTTCCTAAAGAGCCAAGCGGTAAATATTTTAGGCCCCGTGTGTGGGCCATAGGTCTCCCGTCCGTGCAGTGTGAAGCAATCACAGACAAGACTTACAGGGATGAGCATGACTGTGTTCCCATAAAACGTTATTTATGGACACTGAAAATTGAATATCACACTTTTTCACGTGTCACGAGCTATTCTAGTTTTAATATTTTTCTCAACTATTTAAGAATGTAAACCAGTCCTAGCTAGTAGGTTGTCCAAACCCGGGCCGCCAGGCTTGGCCCGCAGGCCCTAGCTGATTTGTAATCGTTTACTATCTGCGCACCCGGACTTAGACCCGGGATTGTTTCCGGCAGCACTCAGCACCGCAGCGCCCCGACCCAGAGGCTTCTCCCACCCGATGGCTCCTCCGCGCCAGACGCATCCTCGCCGGGATGGGCGGGGTCTGCGAGCGCCGGGGCGCGGGGGCGGGGCCGGGCTGGGGGCGGGGCGAGCGGAGGGGCGGGGCGAGCGCCGGTTTCCGGAGGGAGAGCGCGGGAGCAAGATGGCCACTACCAAGCGTGTGCTGTACGTGGGTGAGCAGGCGCGGGCGCCGAGTGGGGTCTCGGCGAACCCGATCCGAGTGGTTTCCGGGTGTGGGGCCGGACGCGGAGGGCGGCGAGTAGCTGTTTAGGCAGGATCTGTGGCGGTATTGCTTTGCTTCAGGTCTTAGCCCGAGATCTTTCCGGCTCCTTTCCAAGCCCACTAAGCTCTAACAGGTTCCCCTTTACCTGCTGGGTCCGCAGGATTGGTAGAAGAATATTAAGGGCCTCCAGATCCTGTGCCCATTCATTTTACATTCGCTTGTAACGATGGCTCAGCCCTGGCCCCTGCCCCAAAGGAAGGGGTCTTCAGACTAGCCAGGGAGAAGGAGAATAACTTCAGTAGCACAGTTGGATGAGCTCTTTGGTGGGGACGACATCGATGACATGGGCCTGGGTGCGGGGAGAAATGACCCCTCCATCCGGAGAGGTGAGAGTAAACTTTCAGGATGTGGTGACACCGGAGCTGATGCTTCGGATATAGCCAGGTAGCCAAAATAGGGGCAAGTGTATTTACTGAAAGGGAGCAGCAAGAGCAAAAGCCCAAAGGTGTGAAATAGCCTTACACTTGTGAGCAAGGGAGTCATTTTCTGGGAATTCAGAGAATTGGGGAAGCAGATGGGGGACTGCTGAAGAGGTGGGCAGGGCTCCAGTTATGAAGAGCCTGCTAAGGAGTTTGTACTTTATCCTGAGGACAGTAGGAAACCTTTGAAGGAATTCAAGCAGGGAAGTGATGGGTTAAAATCTGCACTTTTCCAGGATCGTTCCAGTTGACTCTGGAGGGGAGGGAGATCAGTTAAGAAGCTATTGCGGTACTCCTAGTGCTAGATGACGGTCTGCAAGAAGGGTGAAGAGAGCAGTGTGTTTCACAAGTATGAAAGTGAGAGCAGATGAGAGGGATGCTTATGTACCCAAAGGACTGGATGGAACGACCCTTCCCCTTAGCTATAGGATGCTAACTGGCTGCAGGGACTGCTCAAGAGAATAAAGGACAGTGGCTCAGAATGCCCTTGGCTTCTTTGCAGGTGGGCTGGCAGAGGAGGTGGATGACAAAGTTCTTCATGCTGCTTTTATTCCTTTTGGAGACATCACAGATATTCAGATTCCTCTGGATTATGAAACAGGTGAGTCCTTTTAGTGTCTCTTATGGTCAGAATACTCCTACTAGTGAAAAAAAAAACTTGAAAAAATTTTAAAGTCCTATTACAGTGTATTATGTGGTTGTATGGAGGAAAGTTCTGGAGGGTGCCTCAGTAGGGCAGCATGACAGTGATCTTGATGCAGAAGGAATGTTTGAGGCTTGTGGCTGTGAACTGTAACATAACTCTGCAGAGACCCATCTTTTGAATTTGAGATAAAACTATTTTCAGTATCCCAGTAGGAAGATAGATTTTGAGCTACATGGGGCTGTCGTTTCAAACTATCTACTGGGTACTCCACCACACCTGCTCCCTTGGCAGCTGTGCTATTAAACAGGGCAGCAGGAGAGCCTCGCCCTAACAATGGGGCCTTGGCCTCTGTACACCTGGGTAAGCTTTCCTTTAATAGATATCACAGTTACAGTTCAGTTTTCTATTTTACCTTTGTTGTCATTGTAAAGATTGGAGTTTTAGGCTCAGCTCTATCATTGACCCTGCATGGTTGTTAGAAAAGTCTTTAAATTCTTGGTACCTTGGATCTTTATCTGTCAAAAACAATAAGGCTATATGGGTTCTCTAAAGTAAGTTGGTTAATTAAATGAACCTTGCTGTGCTTGGCCTTTCTAGGTAGATCAATATTTTCCTGAGGATAAAGAATGAGTATCCTTATCCAGGTTTTAGAATTCATCCTTGGTGTGCACTTGATGCTCAAAATGTATATTTGTAATGAATAGGTTAAATGGCTTCATTTTTCTAGTCGCCTTGCATGCAAAGGTTAAGGTTTTAATTTGGCTTTGGTAGAATTGAATGCTTGTTTTAAAGATTAAAAGTATAGTTCAGCCCTGGCCGGTTTGGCTCAGCGGTTAGAGCATCGGCCTGCGGTCCGGAGAAACCCGGGTTTGGTTTCCGCTAAGGGCAGGTACTTCGGTTGCAGTTTGTCCCTGGCCCTGGTTGGTCGTGTGGGTGGCAGCCACTCGATGTGTCCCTTCACGTCGATGTTTCTCTCTCTCTCCCTTCCTCTCTCTCCCTCCCACAATATCTGTACAAAAAATGGAAAAATATCCTCGGGTGAGGGAAAAAAAAGTGTAGTTCATTATTTAGCTATGTTCACTAAAAAACAACGATTAATAGAGCTTGGAATGTTGTTTAAACCAGGAAGAATAAAAGAATGAGATTTCTTTCTTCTGAAATAGGGACTGGGTAGAATTTCTTTATTTTATTTTATTTTATTTTTTCTTTATTGATTTTAGAGAGAGAGGAAAGGAGCAGGAGAGAGAGATGGAAACATTGATGAGAGAGAACATTGATTGGCCACCTCCTGCATGCCCTCTACTGGGGATTTGGCCCACAACCTGGGCATGTGCCCTGACTGGGAATCGAACCAGTGACCTCATGGTGCATGGGTCAACAATCAACCACTGAGTCACACCGGCAGGGTGGGACTAGGTAGAATTTCTAATGTCTGGATATGGCTTGGGACTGGTTTCACTTTCCTTGTGACCATCTGCTTCTTTCCATTGCCCTAAATGGTAATTGCTTGTTTTTGTTTTTCCTTTTTTCAGAAAAGCACCGAGGATTTGCTTTTGTTGAATTTGAGTTGGCAGAGGTGAGAAAATTCTGTTACTGTGTTTCATCTTTGGCTTGTGTTAGTATTATTATTGATTACAAAGGGAGCCGGTCTCCATTCGGTTATGTTTCTGGGCCTCATGATGCTTCCAGAGGAAAAACTTGCCTCACGTAATCAAATTGTAGACTGTGGTTAACACCGCAGACCAGCCAGGTTCTGCCCCTCTTCTGCAGGGCTCCTGTAGCCCCACTCATTGAGCGGTCTTTTTTTTTTTTTAATCCTCACCCGAGGATATTTTTTTTTACATTTATCTTCAGACAGAGTGGAAGGGAGAGAGAGAGAGGGAGAAAGAAACATTGATGTGAGAGAGACACATTGACTGGCTGCCACCCTTACTACCACAACCGGGGCCGGGGACGAACCGCAACCGAGGCACGTGCCCTTGGCCGGAATTGAACCCGGGACTCCCTGGTCCACAGGGCGATGCCCTAACTGCTGAGCCAAACTGGCCAGGGCTCATTGAGCGGTCTTGCTGGCTGCCCTGGTGATTACTTCTTATGCCTTCCACTAGATGGCAAATTGCTATACCACCAGCTCTAAAGTCAGCCAGTAAGCATTCTTTGTTAGACACACACGAAACCTAGGCAGGAATGATAGAGGTGACTTTTTCCTGTCTTGATATTTTGTGGGGGATTTATTTTTGTTTTTGTTTTTTACACTGGGTATATGTTTGGATACCAGAAGAAGCTAAACTTGTACTTTGCTTTTTCTTGGCAGGATGCTGCAGCAGCTATCGACAACATGGTATGGCCAGGAATCTTCATTCTTACTGAAGTTGGTTTTGGTGGTGCAGAGGGGTCCTTGTTCCTATACTGGTTTGCCGAACCTCCAAAGATACAAGGTTGCATCAGGAAGTAAAAATTGTTGTGTGAAAATATTCACTGTAAATTAATCACTTATAAGATTAATCCTTGCTCAAACATCCTTTCCCATTTAAAATAATATAAATACTAATTATCCTTATAGGCCGATCTTTCACCAACTTCCCCGTGTCTAGGATAATAAATTGCAAACACTATGCAAACTGATTGCACAGTGAAATTGCATATTTTGCTAGTGTAGCTCAGTGGTTGAGCATCGACCCATGCACCAAGAGGTCGCCGGTTCACTTCCTAGTCAGAGCACATGCCCAGGTTGTGGGCCTGATCCCCAGTGGGTGGCATGCAGGAGGCAGCCAATCAATGTTCTCTCTCGTTGATGTTTCTATCTCTCTCTTCCTCTCCCTTCTTCTCTCTCTAATATCAATAAAGGGAGGGGGGGTAACAATCACCATTTTTTTTTTTTTTAAATTGCATGTTTTGCAAAAGAGTTAGGATTTCATGAAGATTAGACCAGTTAACAATTGATAAGAGAAATCCAGTAAGGATATTGACAGGGTGTGTTACTGATGCAAATGATTTGAATGTCCTAGAGAGGTCCTTGGGGAAAATGATGAAGCTCTTGAGTATTTGTGTCCTCTTTGAGATCCCTGTGTTTTTAATATCAGATATAAAGTGCAAAGATGTCTATCATACTGTTGATAGAATTTTGTTGGAAAAAAATGCTGCAAATTAATCAGCACCCGCTACATATTTGTTCTACAAATTCTTGCAAAGTTAAACCTGAATTTGAACTATAAGAAATTCATTTTCATTTTTAGTTTCATCACAGTCAAGACCCAGACAAACCTTTTTTCCTTTACTTTTTACCGTGAAAATTTTCTTTGCTGCTCTAAATGGATTCACATTAAGTGACCTTTCCTGGTACCAATTATCTTTGGGTAATAAGGTTCTCCTTTATTCCTGGTCTTTGTTACCCACTCACTAAACATATTCCTCAGCTCTCAGATCATTTAGCACCATTTCAAAACTGATGTTGACCTTTGAAGGTGAATTCGGGTACTTGGAAACTACACTTACCCTTGTAACTCTGAACCCGGAGTTCTATTGGTATCACAGTTCTTTGCTGGCCTTGAAAGAAAGGGTGAGACGGTCTAGGAGGCAACTCCCTGCAGCCCACGGGCTGCCCTGGTGGGTGCAGAGCTCGCTGTGAGGGGCTCAGGATCAAAGGAGAACAAATCAGGAGCATGTCTCAGATGTATCAGAAGCAAATGGAAAAGCTGTCTGATTCTCTTTTAACCTCACAGAGTTTAAGCAGCTGAATTTTCAATCTTTTCAGAATGAATCTGAACTCTTTGGACGGACAATTCGTGTCAATTTGGCCAAACCAATGAGGATTAAGGAAGGCTCTTCCAGACCAGGTGAATGGGGGCCACCCCGATTCCCCATCATGCCCTCTGGTGTGGCCTTAGGTGCATTTTTATCCCTATCACATGGAAGTAGGTGCTGAGTGCCGCTCCTGGTGAACAGGAGTAGAGGATGGTTCACGTTGACGAAAGGCACACATCACATTTGTGGGGAATAAAGAGTTTGAGCTTCTCTTTCCCTGGCCGGTTTGGCTCAGCAGTTAGAGCGTAGGCCTGTGGTCCAGAGAGACCCGGATTCAGTTCCCGCTAGGGGCACGTACCTCGGTTGCAGTTTGTCCCCGGCCCTGGTTAGGTCGTGCGGGTGGCAGCCACTCGATGTGTCCCTTTCACGTCGATGTTTCTCTCTGTCTCTCTCTCTCCCTCCCACTCTGTCTGAATAAAAAAATGGAAAAATGTCCTCGAGTGAGGATAAAAAAAAAAAAGAGTTTGAGCTTCTCAGGGTGATTGTTTCCATTATAGAGAAACCCTGCCTGATCTCTTATCTTTCCCAGTGTTCTCGTTCCTGAGGTGTTCTTCCAAGGGCTAGAACTGGCAAGACTATACCTTTCCCTTTGACAAAACTTTTTCACTTAGCGCACTGAGAGGGGGACCTCAGGGCTGACATTCCCAGTGGGAACTTTCCTCACGCTTGAGAGGTCCCCAGGCGGAATCCTGTGGCTGAGAGGGCGAAGCGTGTGTCCACTGTGCCGACCCAAGCAGCTCCTTAGCCGTGGGCTGAGAGCGTGAATCTCTTAACATTTGTTTGATTCTTTCCCTTCAGTTTGGTCAGATGATGACTGGTTGAAGAAGTTCTCTGGGAAGACTCTGGAAGAGAATAAAGAGGAAGAGGGGTCAGAGCCTCCCAAAGCGGAAATGCAGGAGGTGAGCTCCCAGGCGGGCGCTTCCGTGGGAGGCTTCTTTTAGTTCTATGGAAATTTGAAAATATATACACACACACAAGCAGAGAGAGTGAAAAATGAACTCCTAGTACTTTGGTGAAGGCAGTATTAAGTGAACTAAAGAGAGCCGCTTTCAGCCTCTCATCCTTGTACTCTGGGTAATGAACGAGTCGCCTCTCAGCTCAGTTGGGGTACTGATTTGTGATTGGCGGCTGACGAGGTGGAGGCCCCCATGAGGAAGGGTAGTGACTGCTCCTCGTCACCTCCCCTGATCAGCCTCCCTCCTTCGCTGAAGCGTTTGAAGCAGGGTATTCAGGACAGGGAGGTGGTACCATCCCTGCAGTCTGCACAGGTTTGAGGCTCGTCCTCAGAGAACCCCGCCTGGACCCTTTCTCCTGGTTCTCAGCATACCTCTCCCCTGAGCACTGCCTCTCAGGCTTCTTCCCTCCCCTGTGAATGTTGCTTCTTGGCTCGTGGCATTGCTCTCTTCTTTCAGCCCAAATAGTAGCAGTCAGTCTGAGTTTTCGCAGCCCGTCCTGTGCTATCGTCTTTCTAGTGTTGAGCGTCAGATAATTGTGCTGCGAGTCTCACAGGCAGCTTCGGTTTCCTAGAACAGGGGCTCTCCCTCTAATGCTGTTCTCCTTCCTGTATTTTCAAGATTGTTCATTTGCCACCATCCTTCCACAGGTGGATACAGAGCAGAGCTTATGAATGGCCCTCAGTCTGTGGAATAACCCGAGATCATCTAGGCTCCTCTAAAATAGAAACAATATATCATCACATTCTGCTAGTTTTTCTCTTCAGTCTTCCTTAAATTCTCCCTCCCTGATTGTTCCCTTGTCCTAATCTCATTTGGATAATTACAATAGTTCCCTAGCTGGTCTTCTGGCTGGAGTCTTGCTCTTCTCCAGTCTTTTCTAAAGACAGCTAGAATGATCTTTTTAAAGCACAGGACCGCCCGGCCAGTGTGGCTCAGTGGATTGAGCATTGTCCCAGGGACTGAGAGATCCCAGTTGGATTCCAAGTCAGGGCACATGCCAGGGTTGAGGGCTTGATCCCCAGCAGGGAGCGTGCAGGAGGCAGCCGATTGATGTTTCTCACATCAGTGTTTCTCCCTTCCTCTCTAAAAAATAAGTAAAAACATTTAAATAAATAAAGTACAAGACAAATCATCTGACTCTCCTGCTGAGAACTTTTCTCTGTCTCCCCATCACCTGTCCCACAGAATAAAGGCCAAGAGAAACTCTCCAAGTTCTTGACCCTGCCCACCTCACCAGTCTCTGTTCCATCTCTCCACATTGCATTCCCCACTTTATGCTCTTGGTAAAACCAGGCTTTGTATTTTCCTCTATGTCTTTGCTTTTGTACAGACTACTTGAGTGCGTATTGCCTTTCCCTTTCTAGGCAGCAAACTGAGGATAGGGTCCTTGTATTATGCATCTTGTTAATAAAAATGTCAGGTGAGACCTGGCCAGTGTGGCTCGGGTGGAGCATTGACCCATGCACCAAGAAGTCGCCGGTTTGAGTCCTGGTCAGGGCACGTGCCCAGGTTGTGGGCCAAATCCTCAGTAGGGGCATGCAGGAGGCAACCAATCAATGTTCTCTCTCATTGATGTTTCTCTCTCTCTCCCTCTCCCTCTTTCTCTCTAAAATCAATAAAGAAAGAAAGAGAAAAAAATGTCATGTGAGGTCATGTGATTAAGAGCATGGACTGGCTGGGTTGTGTGAGTGGTTTAGGTTTGAATTCCAGCTTTACCACCTACTACCTGATCTTGGGCAAGTTACTGAACTTCATTGTGCCTCAGTGTCCCCATCTATAAAATGGGGGTAGTAGTGCTCCTGACCTCAAGAGTGGTTATGAGGATTAAATGAGCTAATGTACGTAAGAGGTTTAGAATAGTGTTCTGTACATGGCAAGGCTGTGTGTGTATTTGCTGCTGCTGCTGTTAGCAGCAATGGTAGTAATGGTGTCCTCAGGACGTTTGTTAAACTGAACCACCCTTATGAACCTTTGACTTTTCTCTTTAGAACAAATGTGATAGCTGTATTAAATGTCTCCTCGTCCTCTGCTTAGCTTTGTCTACTTGGGGATAAGGCAAGGCCCCCCTCAACCTCTTCCACTGTCTTCTGAGCACCTAGGCCCAAGCCAGAAGGCCGCCCTCCTGGCTTCCATTGTAGCCAGCCTTTGGATACACATGGCTAAGCACAGAAGGAGGGGACAGTGCTACATACATGGGTCCGTTTAACCGGAGTGAGTGGGGGGGGCTTGCGCTGGGGTTTGCAGGTGCTGAGAGTTGTGTTGGGCCAGAACAGTGTTACCCTGTGACTGCAGGGAGGACGAGTGTGATGAGATGCCGTGCCTGCAGGTGGAGCTCGAGTTACATGGTGCTGTGGTCTCCTGGCACTGATGTCCAGCTGGGTGCTATGGCCGTGGCCTCTGCCTTCTGCAGCCCCATCAGGGCCACGGCCTCCCCTGTCGTCACCTCGCTCCAGCCGGCTCCCCGCGGTTGGGTTCTGGGCGTGTATTCAGGAGAAGACTCGCTGTCCTACTCGGGGAGTCAGGAGTTCTCTCTAACCTAGCGATTTCTTCTGCGCCTAGGGAGAGCCCACTGCCAAAAAGGCCCGGTCCAATCCTCAGGTGTACATGGACATCAAGATTGGGAACAAGCCAGCCGGCCGCATCCAGATGCTCCTGCGCTCGGACGTGGTTCCCATGACGGCAGGTGAGCGGGCTCCGGTCAGGACTGCCAGGAAGCTGCTGGCTGAGCAGTGAGCCTCCCAAGTTTCCCCAGTACCTCAGTTCTGGTGCCTTTGACATTGTTTCTGATCTGAGTTGATTTGATCCTGAAATTTAATAACAGATCGTTAGAGTAGGCATTTTTTTAAGCTTTCTAAGTACTGGCTTACTATTTTTTAGTTATTTAAAAAATATATATAAGTAGCCCTGGTCAGTGTGGTTCGGTGGTTAGAGTGTCGGTCCAGGCACCAAAGGGTTTGGGGTTCTATTCCCAATCCTAGTCAGGGTGTGTGCAGGAGGCAGTCAGTCAATGTGTTGCTCTCACATTGATGTTTTTCTCTCTCTCTCTCCCTTCCTCTCTCTAAAAAAACCAATAAAAACATTTTTTAAAATCTTTAAAAAGAGAATAGAGTTTTCAGAGTCTAGATAGGGAGGTTTTGTTTGTTTGTTTTTTAACCCAAATACCTTTCCTTTCTCAACCCCAGAGAATTTCCGTTGCCTGTGCACCCATGAGAGGGGCTTTGGCTTCAAGGGGAGCAGCTTCCACCGCATCATCCCCCAGTTCATGTGCCAGGGTGGCGATTTCACCAACCACAATGGCACTGGGGGCAAGTCCATCTACGGGAAGAAGTTTGATGATGAGAACTTTATCCTCAAGCACACGGGACCAGGTGGGACCTGGTTAGTGGGTGGTGATGAGTGGGGCTGGGCCTGGGCAGGATGGAATGATGCTATGGTTCTCGCCAAAGGGTTGGGGTCTGGAGAGCCCAGCTAGTGAGCAGAGGAAGGGATTCAGCCTGGCCAGAGCCGAGTAAGCTTGCTTCCATTCGTACGCTTCCCCTCCCCCACCGGGTCCACACTGCCTACAGCCCAGCTTAGAGTCTGTGGTCTGCCATCATCAACTCCTCACTGCCTGAACCCCACAGCCCCCTTCTCTGTCAGACTTACCCAGTCTCAGTGGTTGGTCCCCCAACAATTAGATAAAAACACAGAATTGTACTGAGTGGTCCCACTTGAAGTTTATGGCTGCAGTCCTTCAGGGGCCCTGTGCAGACTTGCAGGGTTTCCTTGGTTAATGCTCAGTCCCAGAGATGACAGTTCCATGCCTTCCTTCACTCTCGAGCCTCCCCTTGGCCTCTGCCTCAGCTGTTTGGCTTCCTGCATCTGCACACATGCCCACTCTGACTTCCCTCTCGGTACAGGGGTGAGCTGTCATCTGCACACATGCCCACTCTGACTTCCCTCTCGGTACAGGGGTGAGCTGTCTCCCGCGGCCATCCCCTCTCCCCTACTTAGGACCTGGCTTCCGCAGTTTTCTTCCCCCACCTCGATGGTTTGTAGACTCCATGCCCAGCTCTAGAGCTGCCTATCAACATAAAACACGTGGTGTCAATCGACAGTCATCCTTTGAGCCCTGGCTGGGTGGCTCAGTTGGTGGGAGCATCATCCTATACACCAAAAAGTTGCAGGTTCAATTTCTGGTCAGGGCACATACCTAGGTTACGGGTTTGACCCCCATTCTGGGCACATACAGGAGGCAACCGATCAGTGTTTCAATGTTTAATGTTTCTCTCTCTCTCTCCCCCTCCTGCTCTCTCCCTTTTTTTCTCTCTAAAGATTATATCTTTGGGTGAGGATTGAAAAAATAAAATAACAACATAGGGCTTAAATGTATACTGGAATTTGGTTTTAGGTGCAGATATTGTAAACAGATCTTCCACCCACATCCACATCTGGCAGGACATGTGAGAATCTCAGAGGAGAAGAGACAGTTCTTCACTGGGTGGGATATTGCAGAACATCTAGCATTTCAGACCCCCACCCACTAATGCCAGTAGCACCCTATAATATTTCTGGTAATCAAAAACATTTACATTTCCAAAGGGCCTCTAGGAACAGGACCGACCCTTTTGAGAACCACTCACTGAGACAAACTTTCAGATATATCTACAAGTTACTTCTTCCCAGATTTCAGTCTCCAGGCCAGTCTCTCCCTGCCGCTCCCCTGAAGCCCCCCATGGCGTCACACACCCAACAGCCTTGCTCTTCTCCCCAAGCTCTTCCCCTTTCAGTCAGTGGCCCCACCATCCACCCGGCCAGTGAGTCAGGAACTGAGGACTCATCCCGGACCCCTGTCCTCCGTCACCACACGTCAGATCCATCTGTCTTCATCCCCTGTGGCCCAGCCGCTCTTCACCCTCCACCACCCAGGTCTTCCGAGCTCGCCTCCCTTTCCGCTCCCGCCTCTTCCCCCTCGGAGTCTAATCTCGAGGTGGTCAGAGCGGTCCTTCTCCATGGAACCCAAGCACTTCCTTCTGCGGACGCCCTCCCGGGCTGCCTCGCCTGCAGGGTCCGTCCAGCAGGGCTGACTGACGGCCTGGGCCCGGACCCTCCCCACCTCACGGGCCTGCTGCTGTGCTGCCTGTGTCCCCGCTGCCTGTGTCCCCACCTCATCGCTGTTCCTCACACCCCACAGCTCACTCCCCTCAGGGTCTCCGCGGGTGCTGCCTCCTCTCTGGAGCGTTCCTCCTCCTGTGTCCACAGGGTGCGCCCTCGCCTCCTCCAGGGTCACACGTGTCACCTCGTCCCAGGGCCTGCCCTCCCTCTCTCCCTACATGGCCTTTCCTGCCATCTCCTTCCCCTTTGGAGTCAGCTGCATTTTCCGTCACACACTTACCACCTGAAATTATGTTACACATTTATTTTTCTGCCTATTTAGTTTCTGTCTCCCTTCTGAGAATGTCAGCCTCGTGAGGGCAGGACACAGGCTCTGTGCACCACCGTGTCTGGATCTGTGACACACACACACACACGGCTATTTAAACAGGTGCTCACAGGGCTGGTCTGCCCTGGGCCAGACCCCCTGCCCCGCTCTGGCCTTGAGGGAGAATGGGGTACGGTCCCCACCCACAGGGAGCGCAGTGCGGAGGCCCAGCTGAGGGGGCGGCCTTCTCACCGCCAAGGACGAGCTGCAGCGCCTCGTGCTCCCCCTCAGCCCCGCTGACCTGGGCCTGTTAGACTGAACTCAGATGTCTCCTCCTCCGGGGAGCCTTCCATGATAGCATACCCACACACGTCTCTCACATATACACACACATGGCCCCTCATGTGACTGCCTCTGTGCATCCGTCCCTTGCACAGGTGTCTGTGTCACTGGGCTTGGCTGTGTCATCGCTGTCACAGCACAAGTCTCTTTTCCACTAGACTGAGCTCCACCAGAGCTGGGACCTGTGTCCCCAGGGCTCAACAGGGTCTGGTTACAAAGTAGACAGTAAGTATTTGTTGAGTGAATGAAAGGTTAAATCGGTACAAAATAATTGAAACAACCTTGCTTGCTGTTTCATTAACTGTCGTTTGAGTGGAAGATGGGCATCAGCACAGTCTGTCTGTCCCAGAGTCGGCCTGGCTGGAGGAGCCGGGAGTGCGGAGCTGACCTGTTCGTCCCCCACCCAGGCCTGCTCTCCATGGCTAACTCCGGCCCAAACACCAACGGCTCCCAGTTCTTTCTGACGTGTGACAAGACGGACTGGCTGGATGGCAAGCATGTGGTATTTGGGGAGATCACAGAAGGCCTGGATGTCTTGCGGCAGATTGAGGTGGGTGGGTGCACAGCCCGTGGACGGGGCCAGGTGCCCTGCGGCCTGGAGATGGGCTCAGCTGCTCCCGGAGGAGGCTGCCTCTGCTCAGGCTGGGGATGGGAGGTGGGTGGGTGTCCCTGAACCCCCCTTTAATCTTCACCCTCCCTCCTGGTTTCTTCTCTTTTCTGTTCCACCCGCAAAGGCCCAGGGCAGCAAGGACGGGAAGCCGAAGGAGAAGGTGATCATCTCCGACTGTGGGGAGTACGTGTGAGAGGCGTGTTCTCTGCACGGCCCCTGCGTGTCCAGGATTCGCAGCCCCGGGAGCCAGCACTTGTTAAATGTGTCTGTGTCGTGGCCCTTCACGGGGTCAGCTTGGAGCACTCCTCTCCCAGCATGGCCTGGGCTTCCTGTGGCTCTTTCCCAGGCATGGCCGTGGGCCCGGGAGCCCACACAGGTGCCACCCTCCCACGTGGATGGCTGTGCGTGGCCTTCCTAGGCCTTTGCTGCCAAGGCCCCTCCTGAGCCCACCAGTGTGGCTCCTGGGCGTTTCTTCCTGTAAAATAAATCCTAGTTCCTGTACTGCCGCCTCCAGCTGGTTCCTGGGAGTTGTCGGAGGCGCATCTGTGGCTGGGCTACCGCGCTTAGATGGCTGGCGAGGAGGGCACGGTGTCTTCCCTGTGGCTTTCCCTTCCTTTCTTGGGTATATTCCCTGAGGTGATGTATCTTCAAGCCAGATATTCTTGTCAGACCATTGTCAAGACAGAAAGCCAAAGACAGGGAACATTCCCATCTGTAGTTTTTGCTTCTGAACTGCAGCTGGCTCGTCGTCACCAGCAGGCATACTTAGGAGTCTCGGTGATTCATTTGTTCACTTTTACGCTGCAGAATTCTGAAAACGGTATGTACCATTCAGCGTGCCTTCTCCATGCCAGATACAATGCTATGTGTCAGGAGACAGGAGGTCAGCACACTACACGGGCCTAACCCAGCCTGCTACCTGTTTTAATGAATAAAATTTTATTGGAAAACAGCCACATCCATTTGTTTACTTGCTGTCTACGGCTGTTCCGCACTACAGCGGCATTGTTGAGTAATTGGTGACAAACAGTGGATGGTCCCAATATCAGTTCTCCAGAGAAACAGAAACCAATAGGACGTGTGTATATATGTATGTGGAGAGAGAGATTTATTTTAAGAAATGGCTCTGTGATTGTGGGAGCTGGTAAATCGGAAATCTACAGGGCAGACCAGCAGGCTGGAGACCTAGGGAAGAGTTGATGTTGCAGCCCAAGTTCAAAGGCCGTCTGGAAGCAGAATTCCTCCCCTCATGGGTGAGGCCTTTGCTGATAGGGCTTCTCTTGGGCCCACCAGTGTGGCTCCTGGACTTGTTCTGGTAAAATAAATTATAGTTTATTTTACCAGATACAATAAATCCCAGAAAAAACTGGTGACCTCAGTCTTCTCTCTTCAATTGATTATATGAGACCTACCCACATTATGGAGGGTAATCTGCTTTATTTCAGCTGTACTAATTTAAATGTTAATTACATCTGAAATACACCTTCCCAGTAGCATCTGGACTGGTATTTGACCAAAAACTGATACCATGACCTAACCAATTTGACACACAGCCTTGACCACAGTCCCAAAAATATTTACTACCTGAACCTTGACAGGGCTCACCCCATGCCCTGGCCGGTTTGGCTCAGCGGTTAGAGCTTCGGCCTGCGATCCAGAGAGACCCGGGTTCGGTTCCCGCTAAGGGCACATACCTCGGTTGCAGTTTGTCCCCGGCCCTGGTTGGGTCGTGCGGGAGGCAGCCACTTGATGTGTCCCTTTCACATCGATGTTTCTCTCTCTTCCTGTCTCTCCCTCCCACCCTATCTGAACAAAAAATGGAAAAAATGTCCTCCGGTGAAGATTAAAAAAACAGTTTGCTTGCCCCTGAATGAGACAAATGGTCCCACTCCCATGCTGAGCTCACAGTCTGGGTCCACGTGTGCAGCCACTGCTTGGAGCCAAGGTGGGCTGGCTTCTCTCCACCCCCCTTTCATGTTCTGGTTGGCCAGGTGGTTTTAAAGATCACCTGCGGAAGGCTCTGAGCAGGGACTGAGCCCTACAGCCATGCCATCAGAATCCACTGGGCTGAGATTTTTATATATTTTTAAAATATGTTTTTGATTTTTTTTTTTAGAGGGAGGGAAAGAGAGAAACATTGATTGGCTGCCCCCTGCACACCTCCTAATGGGGATTGAGCCAGCAACCCCGGCATGTGCCCTGACCAGGAATCAAACCAGGACCTCTCACTCTATGGGACAGCGTGCAATCCACTGAACCACACCGGCCATGCTGGGCCAGGGTTTTTAATCTTGAGGTATGGATGTGCCAGGAGGCAGGAAAGGCCTGCTGCCCCCTGGCCCTGTGATCCCAGGATAGCTCCTACTGAGGGATGGCATTCTGGCTCCCACATATCAGATGGACTCCCAGCCTACTGCTGAGCTCCCTCCGCTGCAATTGACCAGGTTTCTGTCTCCCTGTGGCTGGGATTGTACCACGTGGTTACCTCTGAGTTCCCAAAAGAGACCCTCCAAACAGAGGGCCCATCAGTGTACACCACAGTCACGGCAGGTGAGTCGCAGGTGTGGGTGAGCTTTAGTGAAGTGGGGATGGTGGCAGTAACTTCAGGGCTTTCACAAGAACCAAGAAAGGGTGTGAAGACTAGCACAGCCAGCCTCCCGAGAGAACTGACTGCTGTGGTGGTGACCCTGCCACTTTCTGCTCTTCCCTGATGGCCTAAGGAGGCTGAGACCAATTCCCCTAATTCTGAAAGCTTCGCAGGTTTGGAGTCATTGGGTGCCCCTGCCCCTCTCGGGGGTCTACGAGGTTGTCCACTGGTGTTACCTCACTGTCCACACTGGAACCCTCTACAGAGGTAAACCAAGGCTCGGGACATGACTACAAAGGTTAGCTGGGACAATGTGGCAGGGCTGGGACCAGAAGCTTGGCCAGTCTCCCATGCCCATCATAATGAAGCCCTGGGAGGTTTACTGGGCTCGAGGCTCAGTCTATGGCAGGGGGGCCCACGGACCAACTGCCAGGCAGGAGGAAGGCCTCAGAGCCTGGGGAGCAGTAACCTGGCTGCCAACTTCAGCAACACGGCTCAACACCAGCCCGTTGTTCAGGAGGGCTCTGGTCTGCGGGAAGTGGACCCCAGGGCTCTGGGGGCCTTTGCTGCAGCCTGAAGGTCTGCTTTTGTGGGACTGCTTGGCTCCCTGCCCATGTCCTTGTTGCTCCAGCACCAGGACTGAGGACATGGGGCTTGGTTTTGCCAATTCATTCCCTCACTAACTCCTTTGGGGTTGGGCCCTGTCCTTATGACCCTCCGACGGCTGCAGCAGGAAGACCCAGGGTTGCGGCCTGGAGCAGTGCTGTGACTGCTGGGCTCTCTCTCCAGCATATCTGCCTCCAGGTGTGCTGGTACGAGGCAGTCACGGCAGCCTCATGGCAGCCTCCGGGGGCGGGACTGTGGGACCTACTTCTTTAGTGGTGGAAACAGGAGTCTTATAGAGTTCAGGGGATAGAAACTAGAAAGCCATATTTTTAAAAAATATTTATTAACGGGGAAATTCTCACAATATAAGAAAGTGGGGAAAGCATATTTCAAAGTACTTTAATACAATACTTTGTAAAAATACCAATTTTGTAAAAATACCTATCTATAATATGTAAACATCTATATTTATATGTATATCCTAAGGGGGAAAAATGAGAATAAATTCACAAAATACTAAGTGTTTATCTGAGTCGTAGGTAGGACTATAGTGATTTGAATTGTATATATTTTTTTTCTTTTAGTTTTTATTTCAACTTCCCTCCAAAACTGCATTACTTTTGTAGTAAATGAAAAACACATCTATAAAAAGGGGGAAGGGGCGGGAAGAGATAAACCAAAGAACTTATGCATATGTGCACAACCAACGGACACTGACAATAGCTTGGGGGAGTAGGACGGGGGTGAGAGCAGGGAGGAGGGGTCGATGAGGGCAGAAAGGGGGGACAGCTGTAATACTTTCAACAATAAAGTTTTAAAAACGGGTGTGTGTGTCAAGTGCTTGCACAAGGCCTTTGCATAAGCAGGTAAACCTGGTCTGGACCATCCCATTCACCTTGTTCAGAGGCACCTGGTGGGTGTTGAGCGCCCCCTACATGACAGCGGGATCCCCGTGGCAGGGAACACAGCAAAGTTTCACAACCCTGGCAGGCCATTGCCAGCAAAATTGGGCACTTGCCTCGGACCTTCCAAGCAGGTGAAAATTCAAGTCCTGCCCTCAAGGGATTGCAGTATGTAGCTATTTTATGGAAGAGCCCAGTTCTGACGTAAATACACCATCACCCACAGGACACATTCTGGGAGATTTAGTGGACAAGCATGGAAGGGGCTCAAAAGTAGCAAATTCATTTGTGAAATATCAGCATGTACCAGTTGTTAAGCATTTGTAAGCCAGACATTGTCCTGTTTGTGTACATATCTGATACTAACAGCAGCCTTGAAGGAAAACACCCTGCTGTGCAGAGGAGGAAGAACCAGGATTCAAATACATTTGGCTCCCAAAATCTGTACTCTTGCTAGGCTTCTTCTTTCCTACCCCTTAGGGATTTTTCCAGAACCTTAGAACACTTGGTCTCAAGGCCAGGATTGCACTGCAAATACCAAGCCTGTCGTGTGTTTCTCCTTCGCCTGTTTTTCCACGTGTCCGCCCTTCCTGTCAACTGTCATTGATTTCTCATTGCTGTCAGGGGATCTGCACTGACCACCCTTATTTATCCTTCTGGTGTGACTAGATAAGCCCTGCCCTGAGCAAGAAAGGGGGAAATCATGGCATCTGTGCCGCGTCCCTGCCAGCCTGGGCCACCCACTGCAGCTGCCACGCTTGGCTCAGCAAATGGATAACTCAGGGAATAAAATGTATGAGCTTTGTGTCCACAATTATTTCACTGCTCAAGGCTTTTTCTGTTTGATTTCATTTGGTGACTAGATCTCAGAAGCTGCTGGAAGTCTGACGGCCAGGTAGGTAAGCAATCACTCTTTTCAATTGTTCTGCATGAAAAAGAAAATTGTAACTCCTATTCATTCCTGCTGCACACAGCTTGATTGATAGGGAAGGTATACTCCACACCTACAAACCTTTGGGTACTTGACAGACATTTCTGGTGCAACCCTACCTATGCCAGGCCATCGCTGGGCACTAAAGATACCAGGGGAAGTAAAAAATCAGTCGTCAAAATAATTAGCTAACTTAAGATTTACAGTTACCTAAAAGACAATCCTTGATGTTGGGAAGAAAGAACTGTTACATAAGTACTAGGATGGCAAATAGGCTCCATGTTATGTCAATTCGTAATGGCCACCTAGTTCATGACTCGGATTTGTGATGGCCACCAGGGCTCCCAGAACAGGGTTACGAGGCTGCATCTGGGCTCAGTGCTCAGGCACAGATTCCCTGACTGAGACCCTCTGAAGATCAGCAAGTTCTTGGCTTCATGTTAAAGATGAGAAGTGGGACCCAGAGGAGGAAGCCACCTATAAATCAGGTCTCCTAACATCTAGGCCAAAGCTTAGATCCCTATACTAATGGGGAACTCACTACCTTCAAAGAATCTGGGCCGCCCTCTGTGCGCACGGGGAGGGTCTCTTCCTCTGCACTTGCTCCCAGAGTCCCTCCCAGGGCAGCTGTCGGGGCTGCTGCCCTGCACATGGCGCAGCCTCCACCCCGGCTCCAGACCTGCTCTCCCCGAGCCTGTCCTCAGGGTGCGGAGTGAATCCCAGGGATGCGTGTCCTTGGGCCCATGGGTCATTCTGCCTCTGTGGGCTGTGTCTGTGGGTTGGGGTGGGCCCAGGATCTGCTATTAATGACACAGTATTTCAGGGTTCAGGCAGCTGGACTCTGTCTGCTCCAGCAGGTAAATTACAGGTTTAGCAAGTCAGAAATCAAATAAACTGCCTCAGCTGCTCCAAGGAGAACAGTGGTTTCCGGGAACCTTCCCACCCAGCTCATCCTAATTACTGCCTGTCACTCCCCTGGGACAGGGGCCTTTTCTTTGGCTCACAGGCCCCCAGAAAAACAGGACGGGGCTCCTGGGTACAGAGGGTGACGAAGAATTTGGTGACCAGCCTGTTTTAGACAACTATGGGCACAACGGGTGCTGACAAGTCCCTGCCCTGGCCCCACACTGGCCACAGGCTGCCCGGTGCCCAGACACACTGCTCCGGGTGAACTGCTCCTCAGCAGGAGATGGCAAACAGTTCTCACCTCACATGCCAACTCTAACGTGCTGGCAGTGGCTACCTGCAGAGAAAATATCAAGGTTGATTACTAGTATCTGTCATGCAGAAGAGAAAGGAAACTATGTCATCTGTGCTGGGCACTGTCAAACTGGGCCACCCAATGTGTACTTGGCTCTGTAAGAGGATAACTGTCCCAGAGCCGAACTCCCCGTGGTTCAACATGGTGACAGTGAAGCCCCCAAGATTTTTTGTTTCTCCAAAGGTAAGGCTTCAGTGCACTGTGCTTCTTCCCCAGAAAGCAGAGACAGACCAAGGGCAGGAAGATGGACGATAAATGCCGTTGGCCTTAGCCCTGTACTGTGTTCATTCAGCTCTTTCTGGAGTTGCTCCACAAGCCTTCCTGTGGCCAGCAGTTTGGGACTTCAGATCCATAAATATAGAACACACAGGGCAAGTCCATGCTCTTTAACAGAAATGCCTAGTTTTGCACCTGGGAAGGGCAGACAACCAGAGGTGAGCTAGCCCCTGTCTACACATCCCCAAACCTGTACTGGATAGTGGAGGACCTGAGGTGGCCATTGTGGGCTCCAGGTGCCCCTCAGGTCGATCCACAACTGCCCACAGCCTGGGCCAGCAATGAGCAAGGGCAGGTCCTGAGACAGGACTGTGTGCCAACCCCAAAGAGCCAGTCAGCACGTGCCCCAGGGGAGGGGCTGGGGCAGAACCTTACTTGATGACTCAGACCACCAGGACTGGATGCCAAATCTATCACCACCTCAGGCAGGGTAGGGGCGAAGGGGCCTGAAAGGATCCAGCCCTGGCAGGAGGGGCATGGAAATCTTGATCTCTGAGGACTCTCCGTTCCAATCCTGTCTATGGTGTGGCTGTGTTTGAGGGTCTCAGCCTCTGGAGAGGGTCTGATGCATCAGGGGAAATGCTGCAGTTGGGGGAGAGGGGGGTCAGTGGCAGCCGCAGGCCTTGACCACCATGTTGCGGTGCTTGCGCAGGATGACGTTGTTGCTGCTGTCATAGTAGAGCACGGAGGTGGCGCTCAGCTTGGTGGGTGCGCAGCACGCCTTGGGGACTGCGTCCGGCTTCATCAGGTGCACCTGGCCAGGGAGAGCAGCAGGCAGAGGCCTGAGCATGGGGGGCCTCCCAGGACCTGCCCAACCCCAGCTCCTGCTGCACCTGGGTCTCCAGCTGCTCCCTGCTCCCCTGGCCTGCAGCCAGGGCAGGGCTCATGAGAAAATCTGCCCTCCTTGACCCCTTCTCTGCCCTGAGGCCCTTAGGGCACAGCTGGGCACCTGCCTGCTCCCCGCCACACCCACTCCCCTCAGACCTGAGGCCCCTGCTGGTCCCCAGCACACACTGCACCTGGAGGCAGGTCCCTCTGCCTGAGGCCCCTGCAGCACCGCCCCTCTGGGGTCCCTCCACCCCTCCCTCTGCTCTGGGCTTCTGTAACGTCCCTGATCATGTCTTGTCCACCTTCGTTGTTTGTGGTCTGTCTCCCCTCCGGACTGGGACCCAGTGAGTGTTCATGGGACAGCTGGATAAAGCCAAGGATTCCTGGGTGACCCTTGGGTGTTCAACGCCGTTCCTTCTCAGAGCACTTTGCACCCCTCCTAACAGCTTCTAAGACAAGTGGGATTCTGGCAGCTGAGGAAACTGGGGACACACAGGCCACGGGGGTCGTGGCAGGACTTGGACCAGGTGCAGCGCGCCCGCTCCCTCCGCCTGAACAGTTTCCCACCAAGAAAGAGCCTGACGGAGGAGCTATTTCGGCCTCCATACAAATATTTATCCTGAGACCGGGCAGGACGAGCTGAGTTTGCACTGGACTCCTCGCCGGGGCCGCACACTGACGCGGGCAGGAGAGGAAAGGAAACCTGCTTCCATCCCTGTGTTGTGGCCTCTCCCAGGGCCCAGGACCGCCCAGGCTTCTGGAGATGCAGAGCTGGACCTGGACGAAGCTGTCCGAGGGGGGCGTGTCCAGCAGCCTGCTCCCTGTTCCCCAGTGCCCAGCCTTGTCCCGGAAGCCCCAGCTCTGAGCCAGCCTTCCAGGAGAACTGTCAGCCGGGCTTGGGGTCCAGAACCTCTGCAACCCACTGGGGAAGCCGAGGTCTCTGCAGAGATGTCCAGCCAGAGTGGGACATGGGGGCCACTGCTCCCCAACTTCCCAGCTCCCCTGTGGTGTCTGGGCTTGGCATTCGTAGGCCCATGTGAAAGAAACCAGGCACCACCACCCTGGTGTGCCAGCCTTGGGGCTCTACGTGGCTGGGAGCCGGGGAGGGCCCTTCCTGACTTGGGACACTGGAGAGAGAAGGTGGGCACCTCATGGATGCTGCCTTTCTGGGACCCCAACCTAGACCAGAGCTTTATCAGATCAGCGACAGAGAAGCGACTTTTTATTCTACCTGGCACCAGATTGATTTGCGGAGTCTAAGGTGCCATTCCATTCGATTAGTTTTTGAGCCACTAAGAGACCAAATCAGAGGTTTTGTTACTTTGGGTATAGATTGCATATCTATGGGCCTCAGTTTTTCATTCTGCTAAATGGGCATAATGGTAGTTTTTTCATTTCCAACACAAATGTATCTCACACACATGCCTTGCGACTGCTGTGCTAGGCCAGGGAGCACAGAAATGTCCCAGACATGGTCCCTGCTCTCATCCTTGGTGGGGTGGGAAGAGGACACAGGGGAAACACTCCAATAGACAATCGGGACCCACAGGAGCGGCACAACAATCACAGCAGGCCCTCAGCACGGCAGGAGCAGGAGTGCTGGTGACCACCCTGGCAGGGAAGGACCACCGGTCAGGCATGCAGGGCGTCAGGAGCTGGTTGAGCCCACGTCAGAGGAGCAGGTCCTCCAGGCAGAACAGCAAGTGCAAAGGCAGGAAGGAGGGAAACCCGGGGCACGGGCTGGCACCATGCCTGTGCAGGGAGATGAGGGCACTGGGATGGGTGATGGGGGCGTTGGTGAAGTCGACAGAGCGGCTAAGGAGGGGCCCCCGTCCCAGGCTGAAGACGTGTGTGTGCACGTGTGTGTGTGTACATGTGTGTGCACCAGCAGAGTCAACAGACTCAGTGTGGCCATGGGGGACCAGCACATGCACAGGTGTAAGAATTTAACTACACATGAACTCAGCCCAGGTTCCAGGTAGAGCAATCTCCCCGAGACCCCAACAGGTGCTCCCATCCCCTCCAGGCTGTCCCAGCCCCTCTCCTCAGTGCACCCTCCCTGGGGTCCAGGCAGGACAGGTTGGGTACTGACCAGGGACTGCACGATGGCATGGTTGGTGGCGTTCATGCAGGAGTCCAGCGGGAAGGAGCACTCCCCCTCACAGTAATAGGCTGAGTAGCCTTGGGGGGCGATGACCCAATCCTGGGTGAGGGAATGGAAGAAGGTGAGACCTACCCATGTGGCCCTTCCCAAAGTCCTCCACCCAGCACCTGTCACAGCAGGATTCAGGGCTGCCCCTCACACTCCCTCACTCAGCCTCAGGGACCTGTCAACCCACCCTCGGACCCCTCCTGGGGAGGGACCCCCAAAGCCTGACATCTACCCCAAGACCCTCAGCAGTCAGGGCTGGAAAGAGCTCTGTCCCCGACACCTGCCATTAGCACTGGGCACTGCCCTCCTGCCGGCCCCGCCCACGTCTCCTGTAGCTGCTGTCACTGCAAAGGCTCAGAGGCACGGCCACCCTGGCCTCGGTCTCCCGGTTGTAGCTCTGACACTTTACGGCTCAGGGTTCAGGCTGTCTCCATTTTCATAGTTTTTACCAAAAAGTATGTTTTCACTATAAAAGTAACACTCTCTCCTTGTAGAAAACTTGGAAAACACAGAAGAAAATAACACATGAGAAAATAAAATTCCCTAATTCTACCCACTCTTGGAGATACACTTAGAATCTTCAGGTGGGGGTCGTCATCTAAGAAAGAAGGGTACAGTAGAAATTACCAGCCAGCCGAGGTCCTGGAAGCTGACATAGAGCTCGTGCCGACGGCAAACCTGCCGACCGTGGGAGCCGTGGACGTCATCTGCAAGGGACAGATGGTGTAAGGTCTTCTCTGGGGTCCTGCTCTGTGCAGTTACGGGGGATCCCAGGGTGAGGAATACCCCGATGAGCGCATTTGTGGAATAAATGAATGATGCAAAAAGAAACCATTTGGTCTCATAAAGCCCATCCCTGCAGCTCTCCTGGTGCCATGACCCAGCCCAAGTCCTTCCATGGCTCCCAGTGGCTCCCGAGTAACCCCATGCCCAGTCCAGCCCAGCCTCCCCTGACTTCAGCCTGCGGGCCTCCTGATGCTCCAATAAAGTCCTGGGAACCCGTCTGCCTTCAGGCTGTGGCACGTCCTCCTTTCCTGCAGACACCTCCTGCCCTCACCCCACCTGTCCTGCCATACCCATTGCAAGGTCAGTGGCTCCACTGAGGCCAGCCCAAGGGCCGACTCCCAGGAAGGAAAGGAAGGCACATGGTCGGGTCAGGCGTGTCCCTGGTCCTGTGGGTCTTGCCTGGTGGGGGGACCTTAGCTTAAACAGCTGGGCATTCCGCAGGGGTGCCTGGGAGGGGGCCGCGGGCCACAGGGGGCCTGGGAGGGGCCTCGGGCCACAGGGGGCCTGGGAGGGGCCGCGGGCCACAGGGGGGCCTGGGAGGGGCCTCGGGCCGCAGGGGGGCCTGGGAGGGGCCTCGGGCCGCAGGGGGCCTGGGAGGGGCTGAGGGCCGCAGGGGGGCCTGGGAGGGGGGGGCCCGAGGGCCGCAGGGGGCCTGGGAGGGGCTGAGGGCCGCAGGGGGGCCTGGGAGGGGGCCTCAGCCGCAGGGGTGCCTGGGAGGGGCTGAGGGCTGCAGGGGGCCTGGGAGGGGCTGAGGGCTGCAGGGGGCCTGGGAGGGGCTGAGGGCTGCAGGGGGCCTGGGAGGGGCTGAGGGCTGCAGGGGGCCTGGGAGGGGGCCCGAGGGCCGCAGGGGGCCTGGGAGGGGCTGAGGGCCGCAGGGGGGCTGGGAGGGGCTGAGGGCCGCAGGGGGCCTGGGAGGGGCTGAGGGCCGCAGGGGGCCTGGGAGGGGCTGAGGGCTGCAGGCAGGGCTGCCCGCAGGAAGGGCCCCTGACTCTGACGGAGACCTCTGGGCAGGCCTGGTGGCCAGGACAAAGCACAGAAGGGACTTCCAGGTGGCAGGGAGGCCTGAGCGGCAGTGCAGTGGCTGGTCCACCGGGGCAAAGGAGGGTATGAGCAAAGGTGGCTGGAGGTGACCACTGGCTTAACCCCTTCTGAGGGCCAGAGGCTGTCACCACCACTGGCTGTCGGCCAATGTGCGGGCCTCGGACCCAGGCGCTCCGGACCTCACCGAAGATCCCCGGGAGCTTGTTGGGATGCGGCAGCTCGTTGGTTTTTTTCGGCAGCCTCCTCCTCAGGGGCCTCGCTGCCCGAGGGGCCCGGATGGGGCCGGGGCCCGCCCTGAAGAAGGTGACCATGAAAGGCTGTTTGGAGCGCGGTGCCCGTCGCCCCAGCAGCCCGGCCAGGCCAGGATCCACGCTGGGCCCTGAGGGAGAGGACAGAGGGCAGTCACTTGAGGGCAGTGGCTCTGCACGTGGGCACAGCAGGCACCTCTGCCGGGGCGGGGGCGGAGGCAGGGGCACCACGGAGGACCCGAGGGGAGCCCTGTGCCTCGGTTCCTCATCTGAAGACCCGAGTCCCGGCCCCCCCACCCCCAGGAAGGCAGGTCTGCAGGAGAGGGAGGAGGGCCGGTGGACCACAGGGTCGGTATTAGTGAGTCGTGTGCACGGCCACTCGTGAAGCATACAGGTGTGAGTGTTATTTCACACTGATGGTCTCCCTCGTCTCTGCGGTAATCCTGGACCTCCCTGTCACTGAGGACCTCCAGAGTCACTCCCCCTCGGTCTGGGGCTCTGCCCGAGGTCCACCTTCCCCCATACTCCCGGGTGTTCGGGTAGGACTGAGGACACCAGCCGACGGGAGCAGCCCCAGGGCTTGGCCCATGCTGGTTCAGCTGAGCAGTGCCCACAGCAAGGCACTCACTGTTTCCTGACACACAGAGGACACCGGGCTCAGTGGGCGGAGACACTGGACCAAAGTCCCAGGGCCCAGGTTTAACCCACGTTGGCCTCATTCCAGAGCCCAAGTTCTTATTCACACAGCCGGGTTAGTGGTTAAAACAGAAAGAGAAGGCTGCGGACAGGGACGACTGGGGCCTCAGCCCTACAAATAGTGAGGGCTATAAAAATGGAAGTTTACCCACAGCCGATTAAAGACTGGGCCACCATGAAAAACACTCATTAGCCCTGAAATGTGGACTCCACCAAGGAAACGCTCTTCCTGGACCTCTTCGTATTCCCAAATGACCTCTTGGTGTTTTAATTATCAAAGCAATATAATAACAACTGTAAAGAGACTTCTGAGAAAAAATATCACTCATACACCATAATTTACTTAAATATTAGCTTATTGTTAGGCATTTCAGTACTTCCTGGCTTTCATTATAAAGAAGAGAATGAGATAGAACCTCTTCATTTTCTCTTCCTGTGGAATTTTAACAAACAGGAGCATGATTACTAACTCATTTTTCTGTTTCTCAGACACAGTGCCAACTGTTCCATTTCCAAGTACATTTCCTTCCAGGTTCCAACACTGATACACACATGCAATGTCTGTACATAAACACACACATATGCAATTACATATACAGTGTGCACGTGTACACATACGTAGGTACACATACTTGTTCCATGAGCAGGTCTACTATGATCTTCCATTACATACTACAGGTCCAAGACATTGCCTGCCCCACCCACAATCCTGCTCAAAGGTCCGCTTTTATTTATTTATTTTTTATCCTCACCCTAGGACATTTTTCCATTTTTTATTCAGATAGAGCGTGAGGGAGAGAGAGGAAGAGAGAGACAGAAACATCGACGTGAAAGGGACACATCGAGTGGCTGCCACCTGCATGACCCAACCAGTGCTGGGGACAAACTGCAGCCAAGGTACATGCCCTTAGCGGGGACGGAACCCAGGTCTCTGTGGACCGCAGGCTGACACTCTAACTGCTGAGCCAAACCGGCCAGGGCTCATAGGTCAGCTTTTAAACAGCTGTGCTTTAGACCTGTGTCCAGGGGCCTTAGTGAATTGAACACCTAATTATTCCTGAGACTAACCTTTGACCTATGATGTCACCTGCCACAAAACCAATGTGCGGGCCCCTCAGAGGCTCCACGCAGGACTGAACCTGCTAAGACAAGAGGTTGTAGCTGCAGGAGCTGTTGCTGGAAGGAGCCCAGACAGAAGCCGTCTGGGAGAGTTTGCATCATGGCAAGGTGCTGTCATGAGGAAGCAGCGGAACCACCAGGACACAGGCCACAAGACATAGGAAGTTCTGCGAGCAGAGGGGAAAGGCCATTGAGGCTGGGACAAGGAGGCAATGGAGCGAGAGCGATGGCAGCTGTCATCAAGGTGGCACTGGAGGGAGCTCCATGGCCTGGCTGACACATGGGGACAGCCGTGGGCCCGGGCAGCCCTCCGGGCCTGGGTGTGCCACTGCCCTGTCCCTGTTCCCTGGAGAGCCCTGTCCACTGAGGGGCCAGCACTGATTGCTCCCCTGAGGCTACTCATTGTTTGCTTTTCCTTGTGCAGTTGTCTGTTCAAGGATCTTATTGGGGTCTCCTGGGTGTAGAGAGACTGACACAGTAGATCAATTAGGAACAAGTCCTCCCAGTGTGCCCCCGAGGCAGGCCTGTGTGGGGCACTGGGGCGTCTGACTGAGGATCCTGAAGAAGCTGATCCTACGTTCCCATTTTACAGGAGAAACTAAGGCCCAGTGAGAGCAGCATCTGTTCAAAGTCCCAAGCAAGCTGCAACCCAGCAAGGACAATCCTACCTGTCCCCAGCACACTGCAGAGGCCAGGCTTGCGGGGATAACCTGGACACTGACTTCTGGTCTTCAGAGGGCCTTGTCTGGGAGCCCTGGGAAAGGACCTACCGGCCCTCCTCCCAGAGCCCAGAGTTCCCCTCCCAAAGGGCTCTGCTGTTTGGTCATCCATCTGGAGCAGAGCTCCCTGCCTTTTCCTGGCTGTCTCCTTGGTGGGCCCCGAGGCTGCCCAGCTCTGTCAGGCCCCTTTTCAGAAAGGCAGAGAGGGGAGCTTTGGAACTTCAGGGCCCAGAGTCTCTGCCTCTGGACCTGACCTTGTGAGGGAGCTGGCGGGCACCGGGTTAGTGTGGCCGTTCCTGGAGATGGGACCACACACACTTCCCCCTCGGGCTCAGATGGAAGATGCTGCTGCTCTAAGCCAGGTGGCCCATGAGACCTCTGGCTCACTCCATTTCTGAGTCTCTCCATCAGGGCCCAGACGTCTTGGCAGCTCACCTGCCCTATCCTGTCCCAGGGCAGGTGTCAAGCTCTAATTCATACCCCTCCCCAGTGGTGCCAGGTCAAGATGGCTGCCATCTCCTCCCAGGCTTCCTCTGCTCTGGGTGCCACCTGACTCTTCCCTGCAGCCCCTGCTCCCCCTCAACCTAAAGTCCTGATGTGACCCTGGTGCCATGCTGAGAGACACTCAGGATGCCTGACTGAAACCTTGGAGAGAATCCCAGCTGTGGACCTGATCTGCGTTTGTCCCTTAGGTTACTTCATCGCATGAGGATGGTAAACAGACCTTTTCCTTCTTTCTACTGCTTGAAGTTACAAGAACAGCCTTGTAACTTCTCTGCCCTGGAAACCTCTGCCTGTTCCACACTGCTGCTGTGTTCTCCTGACACCTAAGGCACATCTGCCCAGAAGCCCCCGAAGATGCCCCCGTCCACTCTATGACATTTCACCCCACCCACCCCCTCTGGTCATGGTCCCTGGCCACCTCCCCCCAACCCCCAGGCTGTCCCCTCAGTGAGCACTGTCCCCCACCTCTCTATTCCCAGGATCTGTCCCTTCCTTGGGGGCGAGGCCTCTCTGAAAGGCCTTCCTTGACCAGCTGGAATTTCCTGCTCTCACCCAAGGACTCATGTTGGCTGTACGCCCCCTAGAGCTATGCTTAGGAAGTGCAAGCTCCATGACATGTTTGAACACCTGTCTCCAGACACACATATATAAACCCACGTTTTTCTTTTGTCTTTGAGACTAAAGATTCAGGATGAAATACTTCACAGCCCACCTTGGATTATAAGAGAATATAAACAAGAGGCCGGTTCTGGCTCCACAACAGAGAAGAGGGTCTAAGCGTCTGCTCAGGACAGCACAGGAACACTATGAGTTAGGATGAAAAGACCCATCTGAGCCCATCAGTTAGGTTTCTAGAACTCCTTCCATCATCAGCCACAGCCCTTGGCAACACACAGGTGGACTATTTATGGAGGAAACTCCTGGCGGCATGTCAGCACCAACCGTCTCACCCCTTCAGTAGCTCCCATGACCAGGTCACTGTCCCACCAAGACGTCTATTTAGCTACGAGGAGGAGATATGTGTGGGGAAGAGAGGTGAGGCTACAGGGAAACAAATTTAGCAACAAAATGAAGGCCCCAGCAGAAAAGTCAGAAGAGCCAAAAATCTTTAATTCAGACAGCATGTCTTCCAGTCACAAAACGACGCTTTTTTATTATTGTATTTTTAAACCTCATGCAAGGGTGTATTTTTATTGATTTTAGAGACAGAGGAAGGGAAAGGGAAAGAGAAAGAAACATCGATGTGAGAGAAAAATATCAATCAGTTGCCTCCCAAACCCAAGACACTTTGGTGCATGGGACAATACTACAAACAACTGAGCCACACCAGCCAGGGCTGACGCTTTGTATATTTTTCATAGTACTAGTAAAATGGTGCCTTAGCTATACTCTGGTGGAGTTATTTCCTCCCTCATATTTTCCCCTACTTCCATGATGAAGAAAGCCTGAGATGCCAGAGAAAACTGGTCAGACTGCTTGGGAAATGGATAAATGCGGTACCCAAGTTCGTGTGGATGAAATCCTGAGGTTAAAGTGAAAAACAGCCTCTGTGAGCCAGGTCCCCTTCCCAGCCAGGCTGTCACCTGCTGCGCGGGTCTGACGGGTGAGCCGGCAAAGGCGCTCCCCGTGCCCCTTGGGAGTCCTCCGCCGCCAGGCCTCCCGGAGCTCGACCAGCGCCAGGCCTTTCCTCCTGTGCACGTCAAACACGGCCCTTTACATGATGATTCGGGCCACGCACCGCTCCCCAGTCAGGGGCACCGAGCGCTGCTCCATGCCTGTGGGCTCCCTGGCCTTGGTGCGGTGCTCCACAGTGACCACTACTCTGGCCTTGATACTGGACACCAAATCCATCGCACCCCATTCCCTTCACCTTCTTCCAGGTCACCTGTCTGGAAACCTGCATGGCTCCTAGCATGGTTAGGTGGGTGTGTCCCCTCGGATCACAGCAAATGGGTGGTCGCTGGAGAAAACAGCCCCAGGAAGAATGGCGACCGTTTGCTTGCCCGCATTGGTGAGGTCTGCGCCTACGTCCTCTTTTAATGGAAATGGCCCCGAGCCCGGGATCCCACTCACTGTGGAGATGAACAGTCATATTGGGGCAGATGTAGTCGTTGGCCAGAAGAGGGATTCCTATGCCCAAGCTGGCATACATGCCAGCCTCAAATTCAAGAGCTGCCCATTTGATAATTTCTCAGGCTTTCCTTGTTTTTGATGATCTTGACAGTTTTGAGAAGTACTTGTCAGGCATTCTGCAGGCTGTCCTTCATTTTGGTCTGTCTGATGTTTTTCTCATGGTTACACTGGGGTTATGGGTTTTGGGAGAAGACCCCCAAGGAGAAGTGTCCTTCTCATCCCCCATATCCAGGGTACACAGGAGCCAAATGAGTTATTCATAGGAACCTTGACCACCTGGCTGAGATGGAGCTGGTCAGCTCTCCCCACTGTCAAGTTCCCTCCCCTCCCCCTACACACTGTCCTCCGGGAAGCCAGTCACGGAGGAGAGCCCCCACTGAGGGATGGGAGTGATGCCCACCTCCTTGGGGGGGGTCTTCCACAAAAAGCTGAATCAGATCCTGCCACCTTCCACTGCTATTCCATTCAAGAAGCTCCCTAAAAACTCCAACCCCTTACCCTGGTTTACCCCGACTCAGAATGCCCTGCCTGCCTCTCAATCTCCTCTCCTTCCAGCCTCTCCTGGTCCACTCTGCTCCAGCCATGGCAGTCCCTCGATGTCGTCACACACGCCAGTCTGGGGCCCACCTTCGGGCTTTCTATCCCCACTGCCTGGGATAAAGGAGGCTCTGTCCCCACACACCTGGTGAATGAATGAATGAGTGAATCCTCCCTACAGATGAGAAAAACAGAGGCTTGGAAAGGTAAGTAACCTGCCACGGTTTCAGTCAGGAAGCTGCAGAGCTGCGATTCAACCCAGACCTCTCTGATCAGAGCCCAGGGAAGGTTTGCTGCCGGACCCCTGAGTCTTACCGTCCTCTGTTTCCACGTGGAGGCGGAGTCCCAGGTCCTTGTTGTGGTTCAACAACCAGCGGTCACTGGCTGCTGTCACGTCCAACACGAGCCAGCCCTCGTCCTCAGCTCGGAGCGTCTGAAGATCCAAAAAGAACAAGTCAGACTCCCTGTGGATACGAAAGAACAATTAACCGAAGCCGGCACAGCTGCCTTCGTGTCTCCAGTGCCCACCTGGGAACCACTCGTGGGGCAGGCATCGACCCTCCTGGCTCTCAGCTGGGCGCCTCACTGCCTTATCTCACTGTATCGACCGTGAAAGGTGCTAGTGCCCCGTGGACAGATGGGGAAACTGAGGTTTATGAGCTCAGTGACCCGTCCAAGGTCCCACAGCCAGGATGCCAGGATGCCAGGGTGCCTGGGTGCCAGGGCCTTGGGCCAAGCACCCTTCATCTCTGAGGATGTGCTCCCAGGAAGCTCCCCTTCTGTCCCCGGGGAAATGTACCCCCACGGCTGGACGGACACACCCACAGAGGCTTGGCTGGGGGCAGGGTGTGGGGCAAGCACCTGTTGGCCTGCTCTCTGACCACCTCGAACATGCTGACATGGAGGGTCCTGTTGGGCAGGTGGGTGCTGGGCAGCTTGTAAATCCGGAACTCAGCAGCTGTGACCGCCTCCCCCGCTGGGATCTGGGTCAGGTCAAAGCGGAATTCCTTCCAGTGGGGCTCCTGGTGGCCCAGGGCGGGGTCGAGCTCCACTGCAAGACAAGGTGGGCTGGAGTTCACTCCCGGTTCTGGGCTCGGGCTCCCGGGGGGCAGGGCCCAGAGGGAGCCAGGGTCCTGGGCAGCTGGGAGGGGCATTTCCTCCTTGGGGAATGGGCTGGCCCACAGGCTCTGCCCCAGGTGCTGAGAGGGCCCCGTGAGCCCTGTAGTGAGGTGCCCGGCACAGCGCCTGACACACAGCGGGGCCCACAAGGGCAGCTTCCATTTCTGGCCCCCAAGCCTCAAACCCAGCAGGTCTCAGCCCAGCCCCCTACTGGCTCTGGGACCCACAGGTGAGGCAGAGAGGACGTGTCCCTCCTCTGGAGAGCTGGACTTCAGACCCAAGGCAGAAGAGGCCACGGGGTGGGCAGGGCCATGACCGAGTACACTTCCGAGTCTATCGATGTGTGTGGATGGGACCTGGGGGACAGTGAATGCTCATGCTGGGCCTTGAGGGGTGTCCGTGAATTTGCCACGAGGACATGGGACAAGGACACTGCAGAGGGAGGGACCAGTGTGAGCAAAGGCCTAGAGCTGAGGGACTGACAGCACAGACAGGGAAACAACAGCCATAAAACACTGCAAACGGTCAAGGTTCCTCTTGGGACGAGATGAAGGAGGAGGGAGGGCCAGAGGAGAGGTGGAAAGGAACAAGAAGCAACAAGGTAGGAGTCACAGCTTCTCGAGAGGCCCCGTCAAGTGCTGGGGAAGTCGGAGGGTCCCATGTGTGATGGAATCTGAGCAGGCTTCCTGGAGGAGGTGACATCTGAACTGGCTTAAAGGACGGGACGGGGTCTTGGCAGGTGGAGTTGGTGGGAGGGCATTCTAGGCAGAGGGGACATCGAGTGCACAGGTTGAGTGGGCCAGGGCCACCCACAGCTCAGCAGGGTGGGGTATGGGTGTGCGTCTGGCTGTGGCCTGACTGAGGAGGGTTGGAGTTCTGGCCTAGGAGCATGGGCTGTGCCTCTGGCCAGTGGGGGGCAGGGTTCTGGGCAGCGGGGAGCAGGTGGGTGGCGTGGTGTGGAAGCTGTGCGTGGAGGTGGGGAGAAGCACAAGCTGGAGGGGGACCCGAGGTGGCCGCGTTGCGGGGGCTGGTCCAACACTCTGGGCAAGAGGCCGCTTGTGCAAAATAAATCCCACATTTCCCCAGCTGCCGGAAATGCCCAGGACAGTGTATTTAGGGCCGTCTCACTTTAGCCTTCTGTCACTTTCAAACACTAAAAATCTGTGTTTCCGGAAAGCAGGGGCGGGAGCCGCCCAGCACCTTCCCCCAAACCCAACACTGAGATTTTAATTGCATGTCTGTGAGTCTTTTTAAAAATTCTCTCTCTGGCTACTGGGCTCAGTGACCACAAGTCACCAGGCTGGTGGCGGAGGTGGATGTGGGGAGCACTTCCTGTCCTGTGGTGGGAACCTGGTCAAGTGATGGATGGGCAAACAGCTGTGCTGGGTGGGGCCAGCGCACACACATGTTTGGGCAGGAGGAGATGAGTGTTTCACCCCCAGGCCAGGGAGGAGAGAAAACAGAATGTCCATCAGCACACAGGGCACTGGACACCCAGCAAGTACCCGCAGGGAGACACAGGGTGGCATCGGGGTCCTCCCGCACAGACGGAGAGCGTGGAGGGCAGGGTTCTAGACAGACAACTTTGGTGACAACTGCATGGCTTCAGGGACCACACAGACCACCTCCGTTACGTGGCTGTGTAAGACTCCCCGGTCTGCAGGATGAACCAGGTCCAGGCTGTTGGCCGTCACAGGGTGTGGCACAGAGAGGGAAGGGTGTCATTCCTCACACCCTTCATCAGACCCTGACACAGGTCACCAGGAGCTGACAGGTGGGTCATGGGGTCACTGAGAGTCCCTGTCTTCGGGCCTGATGCAGATTTTCATGTTGGCCCCTGGGACAAAGGGAACAACCCACAAACCTGCCAGCTCCAGGCGGGCACCGACCCTGCGGCCTCCCTCCCTTCCTGGGTCAAGAGCACCTTGTTCCCCTGAACTGACTCTAGTTCCCAACTTCCGTCCCGTGTGTTTTGATGAACCACCGGGAGCTCCAGCACAGGAAACTGCCCGCCCTGGCCGTTCCAGACAAGCACCAGAAAGTGGGGAGCCTTAAAAAAAAGATTTTCATCAGAAAGTGGCGAAATTTCCTGAAGTGTGGAACTGGGTAAAAAGAGCAACTGGTGCCCTGGCCGGTTTGGCTCAGCGGTTAGAGCGTCGGCCTGCGGTCCAGAGAGACCCGGGTTTGGTTCCCGCTTGCGATTTGTCCCCGGCCCTGGTTGGTCGTGCGGGTGGCAGCCACTCGATGTGTCCCTTTCACGTCGATGTTTCTCTCTCTCTCTATCTCTTCCTCTCTCTCCCTCCCACTCTATCTGTACAAAAAATGGAAAAATGTCCTCAGGTGAGGATAAAAAAAAAAAAAAAAAAAAAGAGCAACTGGTTTATCTGACTGATGGTCAATGAGGAGGGTGGGAAGAGAACACCTGTGGATTTGCAGCTTTTTCAGTGGGCGTTGCTTTGAATTAGGAGAGATGGTTCCCCATGTGGTGCTCTGGGAAAGCATTTTCTGGCCTCTCTGTTTCCTCCTCATTAACCTTCAGATGAAGCTTGCTTTAGCCAGTGAGGCAGCTTCAGCAGCACACAGTGCTGTGGCCACGGCCATTGCAGGCCTGACCCTGCACCAGCCAGGCTTGTACTTCTCCTCCTGGCTTCCTCTCCTTCTCTGTGAACTGAGAATAAAGATACTGACCAGCTTTCCTCAGGGACTGTGAAAGGTCTTTGTAAATAAGCAATGGGCTGGGCGGGGCGGTCATTCAACAGTTTAGGATGGGCCTGACTTGCAATCTCCCAACTTTGTGCCAAGATACCATCAGTAGCCCATGTCAGAAATTTTAAGACCATGGAGTGGAGGGAAGGGGAGATTGTGAGTGACATTTTTCTGTACTCATTTGCTCACTTATTTATTCATTAATTTATCAAGTTCGATTTATGAACAAATTTATCGCCCTGGCCAGTTTGGCTCAGCGCTTGGAGCATCAGCCTGCAGACCAAAGAGTCGCTGGTTCAATTCCCAGTCGGAGCACAAACCTCGGTAGCATGTTTGATCCCTGGTCAGGGCATGTGTGGGAGACAGCCAATAGGTTTTTCTCTCTCATATGGATGTTTCTCCTCTCTCTCTTGCTTTCTCCCTCCCTTTCTCCCTCTCTAAAAATCAATAAACAGCCCTGGCCAGTTTGGCTCAGCGGTTAGAGTGTGGGCCTGAGGTCCAGAGACACCCGGGTTCGGTTCCCACTAAGGGCATGTACCTCGGTTGCAGTTTTTCCTGGCCCTAGTTGGGTCATGCGGGTGGCAGCCACTCGATGTATCCCTTTCACATCGATGTTTCTCTCTCTCTCTCTTCCTCTCTCTCCCTCCCGCTCTATCTGAACAAAAAATGAAAATAAATAAATAAATAAAAATAAAAATAAACAAACATCCTCAGGTACGGATTTAAAAAAATTCTTACTGTATATAAGACTGTTCTGGACATAGGAAATACAGCAGTAACAGGACAGATAAGTCAGGTCTCTGCACTCATGGAGTTTACAGTCTATTGGGGAGACAGAACACAAACAAAAAACAAGTAAAATAGGGGATGTCATATCTATCATAAATGATCAAGAGTAATGGGAACGGGTGGGGGTGCTTGTCCTAGGGAACTCAGTGTGGAATTCCTCTGAGAAATAGGTAAGAGCGGATGTGAACATTCTCACCCGTTGCTAGTAGGAATGCCATGGAGAGGAATCTGGCAATATCCTCTTGCAAAATTACTTATGAATTTATCCTTTGACACAACAGTCCCAAGGCCACAATGGCAAAAGTATAAGAGGCCAAGTATATGGAAAACAATATGGTGTTACCGCAAAAAATTAAAAATTGAACTTCCATTTGACCCAGTGATCCTGCTTCTAGGAATATACCCTAAGAAGCCTGAAACACCAATCAGGAAGAATATATGTAGCCCCATGTTCATAGCAGCACTATTTACAATAGCTAAGGTCTGGAAACAGCCCAAGTGTCCATCAGTAGACGAATGGATAAAAAGGCTGTGGTACATATACACAATGGAGTACTATGCAGCTGTAAGAAAGAAAGATCTCTTATCCTTTGAGACGACATGGAGGGACCTGGAAAGTATTATCCTAAGTGAAATAAGCCAAGCAGAAAAAGACAAATACCACATGATCTCACTTATATACGGAATATAATGAACATAACAGTTTGAGGAATACCATAGACCCAGAAACATGGAAGTAGGGCACAGACTGACATCCCTCAGAAGAGGGGGTGGGAGGGGTGGGAAGAGATAAACCACAGAACTTATATGCATGTATGCATAACCAATGGACATGGACAACAAAGCCGGGGACAGGGCGTGGGGGGATGGGGAGCGGGGTGCCAATGGGGTAAAAAAGGAGAAACATCTGTAACAAAAAAAATAAAACAATAAAAAAAAAAAAAGAAGCCATGTGCTCAAAGCTACTCACTGGGTTCGAGGAACAGACAAAGCTATGCCTTGCTCAATAGGGACCTCTACATGTTTATTTCCCACAAAATTACAAAAGCTGCCAAAAATATTCAAACACCGAACCAGCTTCTGTCTGGGGAAGCAGCAAACAAAATGAGTTTCTGGATTGCCTTAATGTGGCTTCCGGAACAATAAACAATCATGAATCACCATGCGCTAATGGGACTCTGAGCCTTCTCCTCCAACCCCATTAAACAACCTCCGGTCCCACGTTTGCCGGAAGGGCCCCTGTGGGCAGGAGGCGGCTTCTACCGCCACGACCAGTCAACATTCTGCCTTTCCATGCCTGAGGCCCTGCACCCGCCCCTCACAGGCTACACCTCCCGATGCCACACCCTGCACCCACCAGCCCTGCACCAGCAAAGGCTTCAGCTATTTTTGTGCCCTGGACAAAATTTAGAGTCACCCAGATGACCTAAGTCTATC